CCTGCCGTTACATTAACATTAGGTGCTTTAGGTTTTATTATGACTATAAATTTTATAGTATTAGATCAATTAACTTTTTATGTATTATTTGAAGCATCACTTATGCCTTTATTTTTATTAGTAGGTTTATATGGTTCAAGTAATCGTACAACAGCTGCATTTTATGTATTAATTTATACATTAGCTAGTTCATTATTTATATTATTAGCTATTTGTATTTATAGTGCTTTAGTAAGAACTAATGATTTTATAACGTTAAGTTGATTACAATTTAGTGTTGATGCTCAATGTATTTTATGAGTTTTAGTATTTATTGGTATTGCTGTTAAAATACCTGTATTACCAGTACATACATGATTACCTGTTGTACATTCAGAATCTCCATTAAGTGGATCTATTTTATTAGCTGGTGTTGTACTTAAATTAGCTATTTTTGCTATTTTACGTATGTTATTACCTACATTAGATAGTGCTTCATATATGTTTACACCTATAGTATTTACATTAGGTGTATTCTCTATTATTTGAACATCATTAGTTACATTACGTCAATCTGATCTTAAAGTTATTGTAGCTTATAGTTCAATTGGTCATATAGCTGTATGTATAATTGGTGTATTTACTAATGGTGTAGTAGGTATAGTAGGTGGTATCATGTTAGCAATTGCTCATGGATTAGTATCACCTGCTTTATTTATTTGTGTTGGAGGTATTTTATATGATCGTTATCATAATCGTTTATTATGATATTATCAAGGTTTATCAACATATATGCCATTATTTTGTGTATATTTAGTAGCATTTAGTTTATGTAATACAGGTACACCATTAAGTGCTAACTTTATTGGTGAATTATTATCATTTATAGGAGCTTTAAATAAAAATGTATTAGTTGGTGCATTAGCTGTATCATCAGTATTATTAAGTGCTTGTTATCAAATGCGTTTAACTAATCGTTTAACTGGTGGTTCAAAATCACCTTATTTACATGTTACATCTGATTTAACTAAACGTGAATCATTATTATTATGTTCATTATTATTACCTACATTATATATGGGTGTTAGACCTGACTTTGTTATTGAATTATTAGATACATCAGTATCATCATTATTATTGCACTTATAATATACTAATATATAATACTATTATAATATTTATTATTAAATTATATTGTATTGTTACTCATTATAATATATAATTTTATCTTTTATATAAAAACCGAATATATAACTATAAATTAATAAATTATATTAAATATAATCATACTAATATATATTAGTATATTATTATAAATACCGGTTCATTTATGAACCGGTATGATTAGTATTTAACATTAATATATTATAATATATATTAATTAGTTATTATACAATAATTAATTATACTTTATAAATAATTATTATTATTATATTACTAAATTATAAGATATATATATATATAATACTTATATCTTATATAATTTATTATACTATTACTAATAATAACATATATCATATTATTAATTAATAATTATTATATTAATATATAATTATATAACTATATATTACTTTATTATATAAAATATTAAGGAGTATATTATATATATTATTAACTCATCCGGCTCATTATATGAGCCGGTACATAATATTATAAGCATACTATATAATTATTAATAACTATATAATATTATATTAACCTTTTAATAAAGGCAGGTTAAGATATATAAATATTTATATATATAAATAAGTATCTTATATAATTGTATATAAACAATTATATATATATAAATATATAATACTATTATAATATTTATTATTAATATTTATTGTATTATTAGTAATAATTATATATTCTCTCCCGGCCCTTATATAAGGGCCGGGTATATCATTATATTTATATATATTATAATATATAATTATATAATACTTTATTATAAAATATTAATGAGTATATTAACTATATATTGTATTAACTCATCCGACTCATATAATAAGTCGGAATGATTATACGCTTATCATATAAGTATCAATACATATAATAATATTTATATTTTTATAATTATTCTTATCGGTTCATATATGAATCGGTATTACTATTAATAATATAATTCCTATTATAATATTAATTTAGTGTATTGTAATTATATAATAGATTATAAATATAATATCTTACCCGGTTCATTACATGAACCGGGATTAACAATAATAGTTATATATTATTTACAAATTAATATTAAATAATATATATATCATATTATTAATATAATATATATTTTATATTAAATATATTATTATATAAGACCAACCCGGCTTATATAATAAGCCGGGTATACATTAATATATTATATATAATATATTCCTTTATATAATGTATTAAAATAGATTATAATTATTAATTATATAAAACATATAATTAAATCTATTTTAACTTACCGGCTCATTATAATGAGCCGGTATATACTAATATATAATCGTATAATATATTAATATATTAGTATTATAAGGGTATATAATTATAATATCATATAGTTTTAATAAAACTAATAAAACTAATAAAATTAATAATATAATTTTATAAGTTAAGACATACCGGCTCATTATAATGAGCCGGTCTACACTTATTTATATATTTAACTTATATTATACATTCTATATAAACTATTATTAAGGTTAAATTATATATATAAATTATATTACCATATATATATTGTTATAATTGTATCTATATTATATCATAATATAATATCACTGACTCATTATATGAGTCTATATATAATATTATAAACATATAATATAAATTATATATAATAATATATCTACACAATATTATACCGGCCTTTAAAATAAAGATGGGTTAAGATATATAAATATTTATATATATAAATTAGTATCAATATAATAAAATATATTAGTGCAAATACCGGTTCATGTAATGAACCGGTATGGTTAATATTTAACATAAATATTTATTTATATAATTATATTTGCCTATTACAGATTATAATATTAATTATAATAATATATATCAATATATATTTTAACTTATATTAATTATAATAATATAATTATTAACTATAATAATCCGGTTCATTACATGAACCGGATTACGGGAATATATCATTATTTACTTATTATATAATTTAAGATAATATTAATATATTAATATATAATATTATGTTAATTATTAATTTTATATCTAATAATTTACTTAATATATAATATTTATTAGTTTACAATGTATATTAATTTATTAAATATAAGTAACAATCATGATAATATATTTTAATATTAATATTTATATTATATCTTTATATAAGATATAATAATTATAATAATAATGATAATCACATAATTATAAATAAATTTATATAAAATGGCGTTACGTAAAAGTCAAGTATATTTACAACTAGTTAATAGTTATATTATTGATTCACCTCAACCATCATCAATTAATTATTGATGAAATTTAGGATCATTATTAGGTCTTTGTTTAGTTATTCAAATTGCTACAGGTGTATTTTTAGCAATGCATTATAGTTCACATATTGAATTAGCTTTTGATTCAGTTGAGCATATCATGCGTGATGTTAATGGTGGATGAGCTATTCGTTATATGCATGCTAATGGTGCATCATTCTTTTTTGTATGTATGTATATTCATATTGGTAAAGCTTTATATTATGGTAGTTATCGTACTCCTCGTAATCTTGTATGAAATGTTGGTGTTATTATTTTTATTCTTACAATGGCAACAGCTTTTATAGGTTATTGTTTAGTTTATGGTCAAATGTCTCATTGAGGTGCTACTGTTATTACTAATTTATTAAGTGCTATTCCATTTATTGGTAATGATTTAGTACCATTTATTTGAGGTGGTTTTAGTGTTAGTAATCCTACTATTCAACGTTTCTTTGCTCTTCATTTCTTATTACCATTTATTTTAGCTGCATTAGTTATTATGCATTTAATAGCATTACATGTTAATGGTAGTTCTAACCCTCTTGGTATTACTGGTAATATTGATCGTTTACCTATGCATCCTTACTTTATTTTTAAAGATGCTGTAACAGGTTTAGTATTTTTATTAGTATTTACATTATTTGTATTCTACTCTCCAAATAGTTTAGGACATCCTGACAACTATATTGAAGGTAATCCTATGGTTACTCCAGCTTCTATTGTACCTGAATGATATTTATTACCATTCTATGCTATTTTACGTTCAATCCCTGATAAATTATTTGGAGTTATTGCTATGTTTGCAGCTTTACTTATTTTATTAGTATTACCATATACAGATCGTAGTATTGTTAGAGGTTTTGCATTTAAACCTTTATCTAAATTATTATTCTTTGCTTTTGTATTTAACTTTGTATTATTAGCTAACTTAGGTCAATTACATATTGAAGTTCCTTTCATTGCATTAGGTATTAACTCTACTATTTTCTATTTTTCATACTTTATTATTCTTACTCCTTTAGTATCAACCATTGAAAACTTATTATTCTATATGGGTCGTAATACTGCTTAATAATTAATATATTAATTATATATATCAACCTACCCGGCTCATTATTAATGAGCCGGGCTTATAGTATATAGTTATATATTATATATATCATATATATATTTATATATATATATTAATTAATATATATAATTAACCAGTAATATTTATTATATTATTAATATAATATGTAATTATCTTACCCGATTCATTTATGAACCGGGTCTACACTTATTAATATATTATATATTCATTATTAATTAATTGGATATTTAATTAAATTTATATTAATTAACATATATTATTATAATAATTAGTATAATATAAATATATATAAATTATATATTAACTAATTATAATTAAATTAGTATTATATTATCATTTTACCGGCTCATATATATGAGCCGGTATTAATATATAAATTTATAACCATTATACTATTTATTAATATATCTAATAGTATTTATTATAATATATATTTACTCTATAATATGGTACTATCTATGTAATAAATTATATATTGGTCTTAAATATAACTTATATTTATCACTATATAAATTATATATCTTTATTATTTATATTTATTGATCCTACCGGCTCATTATATGAGCCGGTATTAATTATTAATTACTAATTACTAATTATTATATTAATAATCAATTATCTTATTATTATATATTAAATTTATATAAATTTATAATATAAATTATAATAGTTATTATATTATTAATAGTAATACCGGTTCATTATAATGAACCGGTAAGAATAATTATAGAAATATTATTATATAAATGGAATATATAATGTATTAATATATACCCAGTTTATATTATAAATCGGTAGGATAATTTATAGACTAATATAAATTTTATTTATATATTAATAATATATAATCATGACTCTATAATATTTATATATTATATGTAAATATTATTATTTATCCCGGTTCATGTACATGAACCGGGTAAGATATTGTTATATAGATTAATATTATATAATATAATAGTTATATACATTTATTATATGAATGGGTAAGATTATAAATAAACGCATACCGGCTCATATATGAGCCGGTATCAATCAATAAATTAATCAATATAATATATCATATTATCAATTTATTAATTTTATTAGTTAATTATTTAAAGGTTAATATAATAATTTATTATAATTTAATAGAATTATATATTAGTATGTTCCGGTTCATATAATGAACCGGATAATTATAGTTAATAATTATATTATGATAATTAATATAAGATAATTAATATTATTTAATGTCATATATTATTATAATTAATATACTTTAACTCATCTATATTTTTAAACTAATATAATAATAAATATAATATATACTTAATATATTACTATATACCGGCTCATATAATGAGCCGGTATTAATACATTTACTCTATAATATATGATACTATCTATGTATTTATATTATAACCTTATCATATATAATAATATTATATAATATATATAATCAATAAAAATTATAACATATATAAATTAGCGTAACCCCCGTTCATAAATGAACGGGGGGGGAGTAAGTAGAAAAATAAGATAATATTAATATATATATCTATAATTGGTAATAAATATTATATATAATGATATATATTTTACCGACTGATTATATGAATTGGTATAGATTAATTATAATAATATAATAATGAAGGGTAATAAATATAATAAATACTATTATAAATTAATATAATAATACTTATATTATAACTATAATATGATTACACCGACTCTTATAAGAGCCGGTATGGGTGGGAGGATATATATAATATAATAATATATATAATTTAATATATAATGTATAAGCAAGATGATAGGATACGAAGGGAATCGAACCCTTACTTTCAGAGTTGCAATCCGAAATAAGCCCTGCTTACGCATCCTTATAGTATATAATAATTATAATTAGTTATTATTATAATGCAGTAACCGGATTTGAACCAATTATAACAGATTATGGGTCTATTGTGTTACCAATTACACTATACTGCGTAAGTATAAGCTAACTATGTTATTATGTCTACTTATAGTATTAGTAGTATATACATCAATTAGTCTAACAACTACTAAAGGTTGAAACGAGGTTAATGCTGTGGCCTTAGTCGCAGTATTTTATACTTTATATGTATCTTTAACTTTATATGATACATCATTAAATGGTGTATTAATTTTAGGAGGATTTTTTACAATAAATACAGTATCATGAGCATTAAGTGTTATTGTATATATTTGTTTATTAGTATTTATAACTTATACTGGTAAAGCACCATTATTATTTATTTTTAATATTATTAGTGTAGTAAGTTTAATGAGAGTATCAGATTTATTAGCATTATTTGTATTAGTAGAATTACAAAGTTATAGTTTATATTTATTAACTAATGATGGTACACGTTCAGGTTCATTAGCATCTATTATTTATTTTGCTGTAGGTTCATTAGGTACAGTATTATTATTATGTGGTATTAGTGATATTTATAATAATACAGGTACTATGAGTTTAATTAGCTCAAATTATCCTTTATTAGGTGTAGCATTAATAATTATTGGTATTGCTTTAAAAACAGGTATGGCACCAGTACATAATTGATCATTAGAAGTTTATTGATTATCATCAACTAGTATAACAACATGATTAAGTTTAATTGGTAAATTAGCCTTTAATGGTTTATTATATGCTTTAATTTGTACATTTAATATAGATAATGATCAATTAATTATTTTATTACCTTTAATTGCTATTAGTTCTATGATTGTTGGTGCTTTAGGTGGTATAGGTGAACCTAGTATTAAATTAGCTTTAGGTTATTCTGGTATTGCTACATTAGGTTATGGTTTAGCATTTATTATAGATAGTACACCAGAATATAGTACAGCATTAAGTTTATATTGAGCACAATATGCTTTAACACATTTATTAATTTTCTTTACAGTATTAGGATGTGGTACATATTTAGTTGATCAAGGTCTTAAAGGTAATTCACGTTTAAGTTTAACATCAAGTGTTGAATTTATTTCACAATTAAAAGGTTTATGTCATTATAATGCATTATATGGTATAGCTATTTTATTATCATTATATTCTTTAATGGGTATCCCTCCTTTACCTGGTTTTTATGCTAAAGTTACAGCTTTAGAACCATTAGCTGTATATGGTCATACATTAGCTTCTATTTTATTATTAGTTACTAGTGGTTTAAGTGCTGTATATTATGCTCATATTAGTCGTCAAGTTGCAGGATTTGATGGTACACCTAATATGTCTTATTATAATGGTAATATTAATATTTATCAAAGTACAACAGTAGCATTATTATTAATGACTATGTTAATCTTTGGTTTAGAATATGATAGTGTTTATGAGTGAACAGTAGCATGTACACATACAATTTAATATGAGTGATATGGATACAGCTTTCTTTGTCGCCTTACCATTAGTTGGTGCTGGTATGTCCGCTATTAATGGATTAGTATCACCAACTGATGAATATGAGGAAAAAACAGGACCTTTCGAATGTGGTTTCTCATCATTTGCACAATCACGTCAACCTTTTAGTTTACAATTTGTTATGGTTGCCGTATTATTCTTACCTTTTGATATTGAAGTATCTTCATTAGTTCCTTATACTACAAGTGCTGCTAGTATTGATAGTTTAGGTTTAACATATTTATATGAATTCTTATTAGCTTTAGTTGTAGGTTTTATTTATGAACTTAATGTTGGTGCTTTACATATTGATCATGTATCATTAAAAGTATCTCCGCGTTACACATCAGTACAAAAATGAGTATTATAATAATATTATTATTATTTTAATATATTAATATATATTAACTATATTATATAGTATAAACATAATTATTATCCCGGCTCATTATATGAGCCGGGTTAAATATAAATATAGATATTAGTATTTATATATAAATCATATAATGTTGTACTACCGGTCTTATAAATAAGACCGGTGGGTATAATTATAAATATATATTATTATATATAATCTACTTTATAATAAGGTATTTAATAATAAATATTAATATTTAAATATATAGTATTATACAACCGGCTCATATAATGAGCCGGTAAAATATATATCACAATATAAATAATATAACATTATAATATATTATATATAGAATATTATTATATTTAATTATATATAGAATATTTAATTATATAACCTACTTATTATAATAAATGGAGTTAGATTTATATTATATAATATTTAATATATTAATGAACTAAAAAGATATAATAATATTAATAATTATAATTATTAATAGTGTATAACCGGCTCATTATATGAGCCGGTATTATTATAGTATTATAATATTAAGTATTAAGTATTTATTAATTAGTAATTAGTAATAAATAATAATTAATATAAATTATAAGTTAATAGATATAATCTTATATAATCTTATTAATAACAATATATATTATTAATTATTATATAACTATATAATATTTTATAAAATATTTATCGACTTATGTTATAAGCCAATATTTTAAATAATATAATTATTAAACATTGTAGACCGGTCTTATAAATAAGACCGGATTAATATCTTATAGTTATTATAACTTTTATATAATATATAAATATATATTTATATAACTTTATTAAGGTAGATGATTATATTTACCGGTTCATAAATGAACCGGTATATGAATATAATTTATATAATGCATAATTAAATAGAATTATAATATAAATTATTAACCATACCGGTTCATAAATGAACCGGTAATAAATTATTATAAATAATCATATAATACATGTTAATTAAAGTTATAATTGATATATTCTAATTAT